CGCCGCCGCGCTTCCCAAGTGGCGCACCTATCCAGTGTGCCACCGGGCCGGCCCGATCACTTTCATTTTTTAAAATTAATAAATTTATTAAAAATTTTTAAGTTGTAGTGGTGTATGCATAACAAAATTTACCATTTTAGCCCTTTTTAAGGGTTGAGTTTGGTGGCATTAAGCACATTCACACTGCTGTGCGACCATCACCACCGTCCATCTCCAGAACACTTCATCTTCCCAAACCGGGACCCCGCCCCCACTAACCACTAACTCCCCATTGCCCTCCCCAGCAACCACCATTCGACGCTTTTGTCTCTATGAACTTGACTACTCTAGGGACCTCATATAAGTGGAATCATACACTATGTGTCTTTTTGTGACTGTCTCACTTAGCACACTGATCTCACTTAGCATCACGTCCTCAAGCTTCGTCCGTGTTGTAGCATGCGTCAGAACTTCCAGGGCTGGGTTTTGTAGGGTGTGTAGGAGTTCGCCAGGCAGGTGAGGGGAGAGTGGGTGGGGAAGGGGCGCTCCAGGCAGAGGGGCTGGTGTGCAGCCTGCAGTATCTGCTGCACCTGAGGTCTTGCCTGTCCTGTACTCAGGGCAAACAGCTGTGGTCCTCCCTGACTCACCTTCCTCTCGCTCCAGCATGAATCTTGGGCCAACACTGTTGGCTCCCCCCGGAATCTGGCTGCTCTCCCCACCTGCACTGCACCCTCCTGCTCGGAGCCAGCAGCATCTCTTGGCTGGTTCTTCACAGTAGCTCCTAACTCCCTCTCTGCTCCGTCCTGCCCACTGCACCCTCACCAGGCAGTGTGTGGTCCCCAGACCAGCAGCATCGGCATCAGAAATGCAGACTCCCGGGTCCTGCCCCAGACCTGCCACATCGGGATCGGAAATTCAGGCAGATCCCCAGGGGATCCGTGGACACATTAAAATGTGAGGAGCCCACCCGGCTGGCTGCTTCAGTGCAGCTGCCAGAGTGAGCCTTGTAAGAGCTAGGTCAGGTCAAATTTCCTCTGCTAAAACCCTGCAGTGACTTCCATTCCACAGATGGTCAGAGCTGAAGTCCCCACCGATCTGCCCCCTCACCCCTGACCTTATCTCCTGAATCCCTTGCCTCCCAACACTGGACCTTAGGGCTCTGCCTTTGCTGTCCCCTCGTTCCCTGGGAAGCTCCTCCCATCACCATGTGGCTCATTCCCACTTCTGCCTTCCCGACTGCCCCGTGTAAACAGGAGCCCGCACCCCAGCCGTCCTTTCTCTATTTTCCTCTTTTCTGTGGTTGACTAAATGCTGGCCCCCTCAAAGGCATCAGGTCCCCAGAACCTGTGAATGTTACCTGAGGTAGAAAAAGGAGTTTTGAGGATGGGATTAAATTAAGGCTTTGAGATGGGGAGATTAACTTGGATTATCTAAGTGGGTCCTAAAAGCCATCCCAAGTGTCCTTATGGAGGGGAGGCAGAGGGAGATTTGACATGGGCAGAAGGGAAGAAGGGAGTGTGACCACAGGGCCAGAGACTGGAGTGATGCGGCCACAAGCCAAGGAACACTGGCAGCCACTGAAACTGAAGCAGTGAAAATCGGATGCTGCCCGGAGCCCCCCGAGGGAGCACAGCCCCGCTGGCACCTTGAGTTCAGCTCAGCGATGCTGATTTTGGACTGCTGGCTGCTAGAACTGAGAGAGAATACATTTCTGTTGTTTTAAGCCACCCTGTTGGTGGGAAGTCATCTCAGCAGCTGCAGGAAACTAATATACTCCCCACAGCACGTTTAACCATCAGAGACAGTAACATGCTTACTTCTCCACCATCTGTTGCCCTCGCTAGGAAGACAGTGACCTGAGGGCAGGGACCTGGCACTTGGCAGGTGCTCAGCGACTATGAGCTGAATGCATGGGGACCGTCCTCCTGCTGGCTCTGGTGGCTTCCAGGCCAGCCGTTCCCCCCGCCTTCTCCCTGCCCTGGCTACTCCTGGCTCTGCCCTGCCCACGCCGGGAGGCCTCCTCTTCCCGTTCACGAATGAAGATCGAAGTGTCCAAAGGTGTACACTGCAGAGCACAGTGGCCCTGAGCACGCCTGGTTCCCTCCACGGAGGAGAGCCCGGCCAGTGGCAGAAGCCGCGGCCACCGGCACAGTCGTGAGGCTCACCGAGACACAGACCCGGTCCTGCCCACGCCCAGAGCGGCACCTGGGAGGACCGCAGACAAGAAGGAGAGGGGGAGCTTCAGGGCTGTGCTTTCGCACTGTTTGTTTGGGTTTTTTACTGCTAAAATGTTGGCCTAATTCCTCTTTCAGGTTTCTCTATGTGAATATATACCTTTTCTCTGCAAAATTGCAACTCTAGCATACAGACTGCTGTATACACTGTGTTTTCCATTTTCTCTCTTGTGGGTCTTTGTCGTGTCAGGCTTCAAAACATGACGTCTAGGGCCGGCCTGGTGGCGCACTGCGCTAGTGCGCCGCTTGGGAAGTGCGGCGGCGCTC